GTCCCTCAGCTCTTCAGCTCAAGGCGAGCGCTCTACCACTTGAGCTACAGCGCCACTTCCGGTTTTCTGGTGGCTTATTGGAGATAGGAGTCTCACGGTTTTTCCTGCCTGGGCTGGCTTTGAACCGCGATCCTCAGATCTCAGCCTCCTGAGTAGCTAGGATTACAGGCGTGAGCCACCAGCGCCCGGCTTTTAAGTCTCTCATTTTTATATCAGGCATGGTCTGGATCACTGTACTCCATTTTAACCATTCTTAAATTTATAGTCCAGTACTGTATTCTTAGTGTTTTACAACAGATCTCTGGACTTTCTTAATCTTAAAACTGAAACCCTGTATCTGTTGAACAACTTCTTCCCCTTATTCCCTATATGCAGATGGCTTACTGATTTCAATGGTAATATTCAGATTAAGAGTTTTTGGTTTCATTGATTTTTCTATTGATTTCCTGTTTTCAGTTAGTAAGTTTCTCCTTTAATTTTTATATTTATTTTCTTATATTTAGGTTTAATTTGTTCTTTTCTGTGATAAGTGTAGTCTTAGAGCTTATTAATTTTAGATCTTTAGTTTTGTTTTGTTTTGTCAGTCATGGGGCTTGAACCCTGGGCCTGGGCACTGGTCCCTGAGCTCTTCAGCTCAAGGTAGGTGCTCTACTTCTTGAGCCACAATGCTACTTCCAGTTTTCTGGTGGTTAATTGGAGATAAGAGTCTCACAGAATTTCCTGCCAAGGTTGCTTTGAACTGTGATCCTCAGATCTCAGCCTCCTGAATAGCTAGAATTACAGGCGGGAGCCACTAGCACCCCGCAAGATCTTTGTTTTTAAACAAACCCATTCAATACTGTGATCTTCCTTCTAAGCACTACTTTTAGCTGCATTACACAGGATTTTGATATGTTGACTTTTTATTTTCATTTAGTTTAGTATATTTTAATTTTTCTTGAGATTTTTTTTCTTTGAACTCTGTTATTAGAAGTGCTTTATTTAGTGTCAGTATTTTGTCAGTGATCTTGAGAAGACTATAGATTCTGTTTTTGGATGAAGTAGTCTATAGATTGAAATAGCCTGAGCCTTATCTTTTAGATGGTCTATATAGTGATCTTTCCAAGTGAAATATGTAACTTTCTCCTTATTAAAATTTCTTTGGTGGTTCCTCATTGTCAAAGTCTACTTTATAATCAAACCTCTCTTATTTAAGTCATTTTACAGCAATTTAGCCCTATACCCTATATCGTACTTTAAGCATATCAAATTAGTTTCTCAACTCCACTGATTTTCTATTATTTTTTGTTTTTGTGTTGGTACCGAGGCTTGAACTCAGAGCCTCACAGAGCTCCCTTGGCTTTTTCTCTCAAGGTTGGTTTTCTACCACTTAGTATATCTTTTACTTCTAGTCTTTTGTTGGTTTATTGGAAGTAAAGTCTCTTGGACTCTCAGATTGTGATAGGTAGGATCTATTAGAGCCAGGCTTGTATTTTTCTATTACTCTTGTAAACATTTTGCCTATCTTATAATATTTTGTGTTGACAATTTCCTGTTGTTCACTTTGCAGCTTAAAAACTTTTCTTTTTTGTGTAATTTTCATTATAACAACTTTTTTTTTTTCCTTTTGCCAGTCCTGGGGATTGAACTCAGGGCCTGGGCTCTGTCCCTGAGCTTCTCTGTGCTCAAGGCTAGCTCTCTACCCCTTGAGCCACAGCGCCACTTTCAGCCTTGTCTGTTTATATGGTATTGAGGAATTGAACCCAAGGCTTCATGCATGCTCGACAAGCACTCTACCACTAAGCCACATTTCCAGCTCTAACATATTTCTTTGCTTTAAAGATTGTTGTCATTGGGCTTTAAGGTATACACTTCTCTACTTCCCCCCCCCCAAATAATGTTAGGTACAAGTTCTTTTAGAGGGGGTGGAGGGTGTGTATGTGTGTGTTGGTACAGAGACTTTAATTCTGTACCTCAAGCTTTTGCTTGGCTTTTTCACTGGTGCTCTATCACTTGAGCTATTCATCTGATTCTGGTTTTGGCTTCAAACCTTAATCCTCTGATTTCAGCCTCATGAGTAGGTAAAATTAGAGGACTAAGTCAAGGCAGTCATACTACCATTTGAGTCACACCTCTAGACCCTTTTTTGCCTCAATTAGTTTCAGATAGTGTCTTTTTATTGCCTGGGTTCAGTCCTTCTATTTATGATTCCTATCACTGGCAATAACAGGCTTATTAGTGCATGATGCCCTGTCTCAACTCCTGTCCCCTCACCTTCCTCTCTCCCCCCAAAAGTTCGCTATAAGTCTTTTATAATGGCATTTTTTCAGTTTACTTTTTTTTTTTTTTAGTGGTATTGGTGTTTGAATTCAGGTCCTCATGCTTGCTAGGCAGGTCCTTTATCACTGAGCCATACTAAGCCCATACCTCTAACCTTTGGTAGTGATGTTGCTCTTATACTGGAATTTGTCTTTTTCTTACTCTGGGTAGACATGTTGATTTTTCTGGTCTCTTTTTCTTAGTCAGGGTAGAGATTTATCAGTTTTCCTAGATTTTTTTTCTTTTGATTGATATGATTAAACTTCAATTATTTATTGTTTCCTTCATCTTTAGCTTTCATTTGCTTTTATTTTCTTTTTAAAGTAAAGATAGGATGACTTGATTTTAGAATTTTCTTCCTTTCCTTTGTATATGTTTGTTTAGCAGCATTGGGGACTGTATATAGGGCCTTTACATGCTAGATGACTGCTTTATTATATGAGCCAAGCCCCCAGACCTTTTGTTTACGTAATGTTTTTGAAGTAAGTCTCACAAACTTTGCCTCCTGAGTAGCTGGAATAATGCATATCCTACCATGCTTGGCCCACTTTCTTCATTTTTGTTATAAATACTTGAAGACTCTTAAATTGCTTTTGATGTTAATTTCATTATATTATAATTTAAAATACTTCTAAATTTCCTCTATTTTTGTTTTTTTGACCCATGAGTTAATTGGAAGTGTTAATTTCTAATTTACAGACAATATTTTGTCACTGATAGTTTATTATTGTAGTCAAAGAATACACATAATGAATTCAGTCCTTTTAAAATTATTAAGTCATTTCAGTGCTTAGCAGATGAGCTAATTGGTTAATATTTTGTGTTCACTTGAAAAGAATATGTATCTGGCTTTTG